GCTCACCTTTTTTGTTCAACATTTTTCAATGTTAATCTTGATGCCTAATGTTCATAATTTGGTTGTTTGTACTTTAAGATGGTTTCTCAGTGTTATATTCTTCTTGGTATGGAATCATTTGCTTGAATTATAGGTCTTCATCTACTTTGCCTTTTGTCTATTCCATTCTCTCCATACATGCTGGATGATAGCTAGCTTAGAAGAACGAAAATTGAGAGTTTTGAAAATTTTGCCATTGCCTCTAATAAAAGTTACCAAGCCTTGAGATTGTTTAATTTTCTCCTCTTACCGTAAGCTCGTGCATCTTTGTTCTTGAACTTGAAGTTTCTGAATCATGTTGCATGATCTCCTTTACATGTCTCAATTTCTGGATCATTCGACTTTAACTTGAAGTTTGGTTCTTGTTCTTGGAACCAGTTGGGTTTTCATATTGCAAAGTGCGGTACTGAGTATATTCTGTGTGATAGAATGTCTAATATCAGAAGAAAATTTGCATTTGATCCATATGAACATGTTTTATGTTTTACATTACAGTGTTGTATTTTCTTCGGATAATTTTTTCAGTTACTGCTGATGTTACTGAAAATAGGATAAACATTAAAGAAAATCCACTTTTTTCTATGCTCATGTTTAAGAAAGAGTTGAACATGTTATTCTGATGTAAATTTAAGCCTCAGATAGTATGTATTATATTTGGTTTTTATGAACACTTTCTGGTTTGTTCCTAACATTTGCGTCTCTGAGCGTTTTATGCATAACTTAAATCAGTTATATGCGATTGCCAATGCATTTTTTGCGTGGTAACTTGGCAGGATTAGCAGATTATTGGAGCACTTTAAATGGGTGCTAAAAGCATACTTTTTTGTGTGGTTTGTTCTTGGAAATGTTTGGCTATTTGGAGATTACTCTTCTTCAGGGGCTTCAAATTTGCACAGATGTCAACACTTGCCTGTCCATTGCAGGTTATGCGTAATGTTCCTTGTCTTCAGTTATCTCGATTTTATTATGCCCTTCATCTTGTGTCTGGTTTTGGCATGTTGTTGTGGGGACCTTGGTCCAATTAGAGGAGCTCCTTCAGAATGCATTGATTCTCTGCCAACGAACACATTCAAGTTGCAAAAAGATCGTAGTGGCGGCATAAAGAAAATTAATTCTGAAGTTAAAGGAGGGGCTGAAGCAGCAGGAGCCGAGAAGGACTGTTCTATTCCACGGGATGATGTTGTTTTGTTCAGGAATGCCTCTATATTTCACGCAATTGTTCACCACTTTCTTTGTACCTTTTCCTCTTCGTCGACTCCAATCAGATACATTATCAAGAGGTCTCGGAGAGTGAGATATGAGCAGGCACGATTCTAAGTACTTCTCGACTACGAAAAAGGGAGAAATCCCTGAACTCAAGGAAGAGCTCAATTCTCAATATAAGGTATCTAGTGTCTTTCCTGCACATTTCATTGTTGATCTGCTTGATCTAATTTGTTAGGTTTTTTATCTGATGTGTATGAAGGCCTTTAGTTCGTGTTTTTCGTTATATATGTTGTTTTGCCGTTTTTGATTTGTTTCTTTGAAGCGGTCAATCTGCTGAATTACGTCTTTTTTAGTTGTGTTTTAGGTTCTGTTTGGATCAATTAGGGATTACAAAAAATAAGTTGGAAATGGAAAGAGATATTCAGTTTTCTTGATTAGGATTAGTGCTGCTTTATTCGAGCATTGGATTATGATTCCCTTTCCATCAAGTTTATATTGTGAGTAGTTTATTTATATATGACTCGAAAATGAATTTTAACTGTAAAAAATGGGGTTTTTTTAATTCTATTGAATTTTCTGGTTAAATGAGATTTCTGAAGAATTTGTTTAATCCTGTTGCTCTTAGTATGTGGAAAGACTAGAAATGGGTCCGTTGGATTTTGAATGCATATTTCTGCATCTCTATATTTGTGCCTTATGGTTATGGGTTGGCTTTGTTTTCTATGTCGTGAAGGAAAAAAGAAAAGATGTTGTAAAGAAGGTTATTGCTGCAATGACGGTTGGTAAGGATGTCTTATCTCTTTTCACAGACGTGGCGAATTGCATGCAAACAGAGAAATTTCATGGGAAAGAATTGTAGGCCTCCTTTGCACTATGAGGTTGATATTCCGCAATGTAACATATTGTATCTCGGGTTCTACAGACAGTAATGTCACAAGAGGAGGTGCCATCTTTTTGCAAAAAGATTTCTAACAACATCAGTGCTAGCCAACAACAATAGTAGGGACAGATGTATATATAACAGAATAAAATACACTACTCCAATCTGTTAATGCAGAAGTCGTTGAAAAGGATGTGCATAATATGTACCTACAACATACAAATCACTCTCTTCCACTCTCCAAACCCCAACTCTTAGTTCCCATCAACTTTACACCGTTCCTTCTTATAATTCTTCGACTCCTTTAACCATTTCCTTATCTGGGTCTTCCTCCTTTATCAAGGGTTACTTCAAATTAAAGCAGTATGAGGAGGCACGCCAGTATGTGTCTGTTTGTAGTCATAAGACTGTGAGCAATTTGATTTACAGTTTGTTGGCGAACCTTCATAGAAAAAGGGGAGAACTGGTTACCTCACAAACTGTGCTTTCGGAGATGATAGAAAAGGGTCTAAAACCAAACTTTGCAGTGTATGTGAAAGTCATGAAGCACCTCCAGAAATCTGGCGAAGATCTGGCAAGAAACTTGGAGAGCAGCTTCTCCAGCTTCATTTCACAACCATGTGTTGGTAAAATTTGTTAATTTCATGATTCGTCAAAAATGTAGGTTCATTATGCAGTTGTTTGCTTCCTGAAAGCCTTCAAGTAACTAAAGTGAAGGAGTTGCCTGAATACCACAACATAGGTATGCTTTGCTACATCTCCTAGGTTGGTTTTGAAAAATTGATCCTGCCATTTACATCCTTCCGTGATATTACACTAATATTAAACTTTATTCTGCTTTCTTTTGGCTGTTTGCTTCCAGAAGATGGAGCTGAATCTGTCTCAACTTCCACCCCCGCGATTCACCTGAAATCGATGATACTTATCAAGAGAAGCACTTACTCTCATCAATTGACGGAAATTCAGAAATATCGTTTATTAAAGAAGCCCAAGGGTCTTGCAAGATGCCTTAAGAGAGCGGTTATTATGGTAGTATTCCCCAAATTGGAAGCAGAGTTGCTGAGCTTGCAATACGTGCACGCCTTTTCTTTGATGAAATTATTTTCAATTTTTTAGTGTCTTATTTTCCCCCATTGTTATCTGTTTGAGCAGAAGAATCTGGCACTTGAAATATAGTTTGTTGTTAATGCTTGTACGAGTGATTACATTGACCTCATGTACCCCAAATGGGATTTGCAGAGTTTCTATCTCTGCCTTTGTATCAGTTGCATAAAGATAAGATGCAGCCATTAGTTTACAGATTCTTTTGTCATGGTTTTTTTAATGGACCTTTCAATGCTATTCTTTTTTATTGCTAGTATATTTTTGACATCATCCAGGATGATCTTCCATAAGGTCAAATTCAATGTTTCTGTAGAAAATTGGGTTTCCAAATGAAAACAAAAATGTGATAGGAAAGTTCACCATGAGTCAATGGCAGTGTCAATACCTCATCTTAGGTACAAGATAAATGACTGTACGTTGTTTGACATGAGGTATTGTTGATTTCAACAGATTGGAGAAAGACAAGAACTGCAACTACTTTTGGGTTCGATGTGCCAAACTTATTTGTGTGAGAAAGCCAAAATTGAATTGGTATTATGTTAACTGAAATGTGCTTGGAAGTTTGAACTTATGAAGCTTGGATGTTTTTGTAGGTTACCCTTTTTTCTGTTCATTGTGTTGGATGCTTCTATTATCTTATTGCTGCAAAATATCATGATCCTGGAAAAACATGGCTTTCAGAGTCTATGGGAGACAATTTCCAAGAACAGAGCTTGTCGATTTGATATGTGACATCGATATACTGGTCCATCACTACACTCACTACTGTCGGCTATGGTGTTTTACATCCTGTGAATACTCAGGAGATGATATTTGACACTTTCTACATGCTCTTCAATCTCGGATTGTAAGAGAAAAAGAGTATGGCTATTAGACTTTACATTTGACATAAACTACTATTGCTAGTTGCCAGTTCACCATTATGGATGTTACTTGGTTTCTACTTTCTTGGAAACCAATTTAACCAGCTGAATTTAAATGTCTTGTTCAGATAATTGACAAACATTTTAAGGTTGCTGCTGCAGTTCGTATTGATGAAATTCATAAGTTCACCCTTTACTGTGTAATTCCTGTACAATGTGGAGTATGATTTTCATAACAGAACTATTAAATGGAATTGATAAATATTTTATTTGTCAAAATAAATTGATATTTTATTGAATTTCGTGAATTATAATTCTATTATGGACCTTTTTTCTCAATGTTCACTCTGTTATGTGCCTTAAAATTGTTCTGCTAATGTGTTCATTTTACTTTAGTGTGGATAATATTTGAAGTGTCCATTTCTTTGCTTTTCAAACTTAAGGGGGTGTTTGAATTATATATTTTCTTATCGGCCTTTAGTTCGAATCGAAGTGTTGTATGTACTTTAGAAAATTTCATTGATAGTTTTTTGTGTCTACTACTCTACTTGAAGAACTCCATTCGTGTCAATTACATGAATATACATTAGCCGTATTTTGCTAAAACATCTAGTAAAGTGCTTATGAGATTATGGCTACACTGATTTTCCTTGTAGATATGAATCTCCCACGTGAAATCAACATAGATAAAGTGCGGACATGGAAGCCCTTTTACAAACTTACACAAGAAAGGTTAGCATCTCATATGGTCTTTGACAAAAAATCCAAGGGCAAGAGAAGTAGATTCGGTGAGCTTCACAGCATGAATGCGGTAAGCGTAGGGTATGAAGTATATGCAGATGGTCCCACACATGTTTTACGGATTTGTGAGCTTTCAGATACTAATAAGAAAGACAGAGATTTCCACTCATGTGCTAAGATTCGGATTAGAGTTTCCCAGTTTGCAATTCAGTTGCTCAAAAAAAGCGAAAGAGGTCTCTACTCCCTCTTTCTTTGTCTGATAGTTTCATTCTGTTATAGCTTGAAACTCAGAAAACTAGTCAAAAGCAATATCTCTCTGTTTGCATGTGCTAAATTCTTATGGTTTTACATGTATAAGGGTCATGCTTATCTGTTTATTGATCTATATGTTGCAAACTAGACATTCCTCTTCCAGGCCTTAATGATTAAATATGCTTTTACATTGACTCCAGGTGCTCAATCATGAAGCCTTATCAAATTGTGAACCAACTACCTAAGGCATATAAGAAATATATTACACCTCAAGGGACTTTTGGAAATTCATATAAGATAAACCTTGGATTGACTAAATTGCTAAAAGATTTCAATTTTGCTACTAAGTAAAATTGCACAACCTAAAAAGTAAAAATCACTCCGAATATTTGATTGTATTTTATACTTATCATAGGTTTGGTGAAGTGCATTGTGATAATATTGGTCTGTTCAACTAATTGTCTTTGTTTCTTGTTATAATTTTGTCAAGGATTTAAACCACAGTGGAACACTTTGTTATACCTCATTTACAGTAGCAAGGCTTCAGAACATAAGTCTGGATTCTTAGCTCACGGACCATGAGAAGTATAACCAGATTGTTGTTCAGGTAAAAAAAATTGCCATGTGTTTGAGATCTTAATACGTGTTAATAGTTTAAATGAATATTCACTTTTAATGTTATGAATATAAATAGCTTCTTGATTTAACCATCATTGTAGTCACTGACTGTTGATGTGAAGTGGACGGGAGCTCCTGTGGCATCAATGTTACATAGACATCGGTTAGACTACAGTGATGCTGATGACAGCATACTCAAAATCGTTTTTGTCCTACTTTCAGCGGGCTCTGATGTTAAACAAGTTAAATATTCATCTTCTTATCCTGCAGGTATAATGAGGCAGTCCGTGTTTACCTTTTTGGGTCCATCCTGAACCATTGTAGCATTAGTTCCTTTTGTTTCTGTTTTGTTTTAGAAACTATGGGTGGTGAAAACTGTGGAATATTGATGATAACTTAGTTTTGAAGGTGCTAATAGAATAAATCAAAAATCAAAAGAAATTTAGAACATATTAACTAAACCTAAAATCATTAATCTCTAAAGCCCTAGAGGAAATTACTTATTTCCGTGTTTTCTCTTTGCTTTGGGAGAAAAGCAATGTGCCTCGTTATGTCTTCCTGTTGTTCTGGATAGAGGTAATTTCCCTCCATTTTATTTTATTTTTCTCAGAAGTTACATAATGTCTATATATTGCTTTAGAATAAAAGATAGATAAGAGATCACAGTTTCTGTGAACTTTGTCCTAAAATCGAATTAAATAGAAGTACAGTGATAAAATTCAACCTAGTCAAAGCATAATTAAAGATCTATAGCTTCACCTATATTGTAGTGGCATGATTGCCCTTTTTTCCAAAGGTTGATGAACCTTAAAATTTTTTGTCCATGTGAAATGCATTTTTTTTCTTGAGATTTTTAAGTCTATCGTGCCAGATTGCTTTTAAACATATTTTGGTTTTTCCTAACATTAACATTGATTTTGATTAAATTATACATGGTATGTGTAAGCCATTGACTAGAATTCTGAATAATTTCCTTTTGATGATTTAGGGTCCTAAAAGTATTCTTACAGTCACTGTGGATAAACTTGTACTTATCTTTCAAAAGGGTAAATATTTATCACTTGCGTGCCAATGCCATCTTGAGCTTTATAAATCCTTGAAATCTATTTTTCATTGCAGCTTCTGATATCGGGTTCGCTTGATAGCTTGGATGTTGATGACCTTCGATGCAACACCAATTATGGGGGTGGTTATCACAGTGTAAGTTGTTTACCGTATCCTCCTCTCTTATTTGTTGGTCTGTAATGATTTCATTCCAATATCTAAGTGAAATGGAAGGACTGAGGAGCGTAAATTGTTACTGAATTGATTAATTGCTCTATCTTATATTATTATTGACAATTGTTTGCTTTCAAAAGCTTATTTTTACTTAATTTGTTTAACAATACCATTATGTCATTGATATGTTTTGGGAAGTCCTCAAAAGCTTTTCTCTAGAAAATAAAAAAAAATTGTAGGGAGTTGCATCATCTGTGATCTATTTAGTCTACTTCAATTGTTAGCTTCAAGAATAATGAACATGGGAGAGGATAATAATTAGATGAGATTCTTTTTAGGTTTGTAACTGGATGTTCCCGAGAACCACAGCTGGGATTCAAATATCTTGTGCCTCTATTTTGCATACAAAGGTAACGATCATACCAAATTTACTTTGGAAATTAAATAACTTCTCTGTTTATGTGGTTAATATGAACATAAGCGTAATATATAAACACAGCTTCCGGGAAAGCAATAATAGAAAATTAGAGTTTCAAAACAGTGAGACTATTTTTGTTCAAAAACTTCACTATGACTTCGCATTGTACAGGCTGTTTTTGTTAAACTATTTTCAATCCTGTGGTCCTTATAGCTCAAAGTCACTTGCAATCTGTAATCTTAAAGCTTCTGGAAAATAAATAATAGAAGTTCGAGCTTTGCAACAGTTGAGGCTATTCTTGTTCAAGAATCTTTAGTATGACTTATCATCATTCATTATGTATCTACCTTTGTTTGCTTGATGCTTTTGCTAGTTGGTTCCCAATTCTTAAAAGTTGCTTGAAAGCGATAGAAGTTAAATAACATCTCATGATGATTCTTGAAATGGCCAAGTAAATGTTACTCTATTTCAAACATAATTGATTTATATAAAATTGTGCATTTTGTTATCTAAAAAATTGAGTAACTCTCATGGTATCCGCAATAAAACTGTGGATTTTGATGATAATCTCCCATATGCTGAAGATCCAAGGTTGATATAATCACAACTATAATAACTGGGCGCATGCAAGTAATAAACGAACGAATCTACAAAATAATATACACAAGAAATATAATCATTTAAATGTGAAATGCATGTAACTAACAAAAATGAGTCAACAGAATTATATTGATTTACTAACCGCAGCACCAATGGTGATAAACAGCAACTCAAAGCGTCCATCTCTATCTGTTTTGATATGAGTTACCGACTCAAGATTTTTCAGCTTTAAATTGTGACAATAAGCCGGCAGTTGGGCAAACGATGCTTCTGGCGACCCCCTCAACAATTCCAATGCATAACATTTGGCTCTCCAAGCTTGAGAATATGATATACTAATCTTGAACCGAGCATTCATGTCAGTCATAATTTCATGTCCTCGATATACCCTGTCATTCAAAAACATTAACTCAGCCAGAAAACCATCCAACACCTTTTTGTTTGCCTGTCTATGGTGAGGAAAAACTTGGGTTCTTGAACATGTATGTTTATCAATAAAAGTCCTAACTTGAAACATTTCGTAATCTTTTATCCTCTTTGCAATCATACGCCACGTACAGTTTTTGTCAATCATACACCTTGTTTCAAAACGATCTTTGCTTGATTTGTTAACTTTTAGTTGATAGCCATCTTCCACACATTTCGTATACAAAGCTATCTTCAAGTCTTCCTTTGTATCAAAACAATCATCTTTCTTGATACGAATAACTTTTGTGTAACAATCAACTGCTTTCTTTACTAACTCTTCTTTTGGTATCTGAAGTAATTCTGGCATATTCCAGTTATACTCCCGTGGCATTTTCTTTTCTTCGGGGACTTTTTCTTCTTCTTTTTCTTCTTCAGGATTATATGAATTACAGAATGGATGATGTTCATTCACAGTCGTAACTTCCTCCTCATTATCATCAACAACATCTTCCTCGGAAACGGTTGTTTCATCATCAAAATTCGGGTATTGACCAATATCAAAATCATTACACGCATGGTCTGTTTCTTCTTCTGAAACATCATCAAAATCCGAGTATTGACCAATATCAAAGTCCGGGTATTGACCAAGATCAAATTTTGAATACTGACTAGTACTCACAATTTTTTCTGTTGGCTCATCATCGTCTAATTGGTCAATACGAAAACCGGAATTTGGTGTTGAAAGTTGATTGGGATTTGGATTAGAGAAAGGTTGTGGGTTTTGAGAAAAACTTAGTTGATTACTACCGCTACTGACCCAACAATACTACTTCTAGGTTCAACAACATACAATGTAACATCATCACTTGAAACACTAATGTAAGCAATGAATCGTTCAACATCTTCATTGTCAGTTAACAAATAAACTTTATCATTTCTCTGATAAGATAGCCTAAATCCACTTAGGGGCTCTAAATTCAATTTCTTTGAAACACGTAACATTAGAGTTTCATAAGTTAACTTTTTTAATGACAGTTTTAGTTGAAGATTCATGGGTAAAGGCATATATTGTAAAACACCATGAACATTCTCCCATGACCCTCCAAAACACAAATCTATCCAAACATGATCAACATTAGATGATTTCATGGTTGTAAATTAATTTACTAAACAAACGAGCTGCGAAACTAAGACCTGTTGCCGGATGGGGAAGGATGTAGGAACGGATATAGGAACGGATGTCGCCGGAGAGAGTGATAGATGGAGATGGAATGAGTTGCGATTTAGGGATTTAGGTTATGAGTTGTTGCTGTTGCGTAGATATATACACAAAAAATTTGTGCTGCGAAACTAAAACCTGTTGCGAACTTTGAAAATCGCATTGCGATTCTGTATTATCTCATTGCGATAGTCAGAATCTCGTTGCGAAAGTCAGAATCGCGTTGCGAAAGTCAGAATCGCGTTGCGAAAGTCAGTATCGCGTTACGAAAGTAAGTATAGCGTTGCGATTTTCCCAATTCGCAATGCGAATAAGTAAATCGCAATGCGAATTTGGAAAATCGCAATGCGATACTGACTATCGCAACGCGATAATACAAAATCGCAACGCGATACTGACTTTCGCAACGCGATACTGACTTTCGCAACGCGATTCTGACTTTCTCAATGAGATTCTGACTTTCGCAATGAGATTCTGAAAATCGCAATCATCTTCAAAATCCTAATCACAACCGGCTTCACCTTTTGGGATTGTTAACTTAGGTGATTTTTAAATGCAAACGTTGTATTATGTGTATTTTATGTGTGCACTTTTAACATTTTCAGTTAGGCATGTATTAGTAACTTGAGTTTGAACATTGCTATGATCTGTTCAGTTCTCACTTAAGGATTAACCTGCAGAAACCAAACATTTGCTCAAACAAGACTTCCTACACATCTAAAACCTACAAACAACAAATTATTGAATTCTAGGTACTTAACCAAACATTTTCAAACCAAAAGGAGTATATATGTTAACAAAACTTGCATTTGACTTACCAATTAACAATGAATACTTTCATAACGCGGATGCATGTAGGCAGCGTCTCGAATATATCGCTCTAGCCATATAATGCCGAAACCACAAGCCTACTGCAGCTCTATCTCTATCGGTGGGAGGTAGAAACTCTGTGCTTCCCGTCGTCAAACGCGCCAAGCACATGCATACGAGAGGACCACAATCCCCTCTGGCTCCCGGTGATTGTTGTGGCGCGGTCTCGTCTCTGACAACTGTGACATTGAACTTCTTTGGCTTCTTGTGTCCAGAATGAGTCCAATAATTAATCCCATCCAAGAATTTAGCCAAATGAGAGCTCCATCCCTTGATAATATCTCTCAAATCAGACAGTGATATGTAATTTATCATGCTGTCATATACTATTATCTTCAGGGATGGGAGCTGAAGTTGGACGAGAAGCCAATGACGACGTTTCAAAATAGGGATAAACACCTGCAATCATAAGTAATAATTCATTTATTTGCGCACTTATTTATGAACACCTTTAAAAAATTTTAAAAATAAACACTAACCTTATCGACCTCCCACCATGCAGGATAAAGTTTAGCTTATCCATTGCCCAAT